TTCATTCGACGCTACACACACAGACTGGTAGTGCCCTATGCTACTGCAAGGGGACGGGGTACATCCCATGGTCCTACACCAGGAATAGACAGTGAAAGTGACGATAATGTGGCCACAATTGGGATGGTGGTGGAGGTGCCACGTGGGATCTGGGACCCATGCTGACTCAGGACATCCACAATCTCGACCAGATATCCAGTACCCACCAGCCAATTGCAACAGGGTGCCAATTTTGTTCCCAATCCTCATCAAGTTGATGAAACTCAATATGGAATCCGGCCATCTTGTACCTTGGGAACAATGCCAGTGAAATGCAATGTTTTGAGCTATTTTTTGAGCAACCCCTGATGGAAATTTTGTCGGGAAAGTAATACAGTGGACCCTCGATCAACTATATTAATCCGTTCCAGATAGCTTGCCATTAGCCGAATTTATCGTTAGCCGAATTAATTTTCCCCATTGGAAATAATGGAAATCCAATTAATCCGTTCCAGACACCCAAAAGTATAAAAAAAAAAAAAAAATTTGTATGAAATATACATTTTCCTACATAGAAAAAAAAGGATGCATGCACAATAAATAATGTACTGTACTAAATGAAGAATAAATGACACTTACCTTATTGAAGATGTAGTGATGAGTGGCATACAATCGTAGTGGCATACACACTGTGTATGCCACTACGATTCTTAAATCTCTCCAACCAACCTTTGCTGGCCTTAAATTCACTCACATCACCACTAGTTGCAGGCATTTTTAATTAAATTGTCATGCAACTCCCTTGGCTTTTCACATATGATGGATTGAGAGATACTATCTCCTGATATCTGTTTTTTGTTTATCAACAACAACAACAACAGTCTCTCAACATCGAGTACTTGCAATCTGTTTCGAAAACATACCTGCACCTTTCGCAACAACAGCTTCCTTGATTGCCTTTCTGTTGGCCAAGATAGTAGCGATGGTTGACTGGGGTCTGTTATACAACCTGGCCAGCTCAGAGACAAGCACTCCACTTTCATACTTATTATCTCCTTCATTTAAATTGTAATTCTCACCCTTTTTACCACAGGGTTGGCACTAGAAGCTTTCTTGGGGCCCATGGTGGCTTATTTAGCAGTTACAAGCACTAAAAACACTGGAATAATACAAAATGTACCGAATGTATGCCTGGAAGCGACAGCACTGGCTTGTAAACACTGGCACACTAACTGAGGCAGGGCAGCTAAGGCGTGCTCAGGCCAGACGGGACATGTGAACGCGTTTGGGACGAATGATGTTAGTCGAGTTTTTCATCGTTGGTTGGACCAAAATTTTTACGCTCAAACGCTTCGTTAGTCAAATTATAGGTTAGACAATGCCTTTGTTGGTCGGGGGTCCACTGTACATACTTTAATTATACTATGGAAAATACACTGTTTCACCACAATCACAACTACACCAATAGAAGGAGACCAGTGTCTGAGATGTATATGTTTTTGCAACAATAATGGTCATGCCACATGTGTATATAGCATAATATCAAGTCATACTGGTCAATAGACTGCTTAATTCAGTCCCAGCCTTCAGTGACATGATGCCAGAGAACCAATTACCCTACCATTATGTATGCTACACTTCTCAGACAAAACAAGGCCTGAAAAAAACTACAGGTTATATAAGATTAGGAATGTGTTTATATATCTGAAACAATAGTTTAGTATGTATTTTTATCCCTTCAGGAAGCTTTTTATTGATGAGTCTGATTTTGTTCAAAGGTAGATTGTTGTTCAAGCAGTATATATCAAGCAAGAGGAAACACTTCGGTATCAAGTCGTTTGTATTTTGTGATTGTGAAAATGGTCTGGTATTAGACATAACTTTGTACACTGGAATTAAGACACTGAAAGATACCAAGAAGTTACTGGGTATCTCGGGTGATGTGGTTAGAACAATGATGGAACCATATCTTGGTAAGGGCATACATTATACACTGATAACTGGTACACAAGCTCATTACTCAGTGACTTCTTGCGAGTGAACATAACAAATGTGAATGGCAAAGTGCGAGCAAATTGTAAGCATATGCCCAGGTTCAATGCAGGCACTTGTAGTAGTGAGGTGCAGGAGTTTGATGCCAATGACATCATGGCATTACAGTGGCATGACAAATGAGATGTCATATTGTTGACATCAATTCACCAAAATGTCATTGGCTACACCCTCAATATGCATTTAGTGGACCAATGTAACATGCAAATTTGGTCTGCTGATTGTGTTTGCAAGAGTTACAACTGGTACATGAAACTCTTTTTCTATCTTGTGGATATTTCCACAGTCAATGCTTATAATATGTACAAGATGAGAACTAGAAACAGACCACTATGTGATGAATTTTGCTTGTCTGTCATCAGATAAATAATAATATTCAAGTAATAGGTAACAACGCCTGCAATACAAAACTGCCTAGGAACTGACCATCAAATACCCTATCGTTCGAGGCATGGTGATTACTACCTTATACCACTGCTTCCTACTAAGAAGAAATGGGCCCAGAAAAGAAGTTTTGTCTATGAACATACAACAAAATCCCCACAAAGACACTCATTTTAAGTGTGAGAGAAGCGTAAAACACCTCTGTGCATGACACCATGCTTCAGAGTTTCACAAACTGCAGCAGTTCTAGAAACATGTCCAGTGACTGAATATGTGTATATACAGTAGACCGTTATTTAGCACGATTTGGGTATAGCACAATTGAAGAATTGCGGCACAATTTTATGTAACACGTCATATGATGAGTTTAACAGGTTCAGTTTGTGGCAAGGAAAAAAAAACTCCCTTTTCCTCAAGCGGCCGCCTTGTTGTGGTTCAGCTGGGGAGACCTCCCGCTGTCCCCAGCCACCCCCCGACATCACCCCACCATCAAAGCATTCGTACTTCATACAAGCTACAATCACAAGTTACAAGCTTGTGATTGTGAATTGTGTTTCGATCTTTTAATTGCTATATCTGGTATCTGCCAAGGAATCATGACACCCAGTAAGCATATCAATGTTGCTCAAAGTGGCAAGAAAAGGTGTAAACATTTAAGTCTTAGAATTAACGAAGAAAACAAAGGTATTAGACATCCTGTGGCCATAATGAAGTGTTACTTTGTATACATATAAAAGAGGTAAACATAAATTTGTGAGACTAACTTACTGATTGAATGACTTACTGATTTATTGAATGACTTGACGGACTTACTGAATGACTTGACTGACTTACTGAATGACTTGACTGACTTACTGAACGACTTGACTGACTTACTGAACGACTTAACTGACTTACTGAACGACTTGACTGACTTACTGAATGACTTGACTGACTTACCTTTGAAGAGTTTCGAGAGTTTATCTACTCTCTGAGCCCAGCCATGGGCCAGGCTGAATCACTTGACTGACTTACTGAATCACTTGATTGAATGACTTAAAGTTAAACACTCCAGTACAACCATCAACTTCAATACCAGAACCTCTACCATCCACCTCAGCCCAGTAGGGCCACAACATAACTCTCCACTCTACACAATCATCCACAAACACCAGCACCCACAATTTAAGGTAAGAAATACTATTATTTCTGTTACATTTGTAGTCTTAAGCAGTAAAAACAACATAATACATCATAACAATGAACTACAATTACATTTTCACTTTTTATTTTTGTAAGATGTGGAGGCCTAAAAAAAAAAGTTGTTTGGCTTTTTTGGGGCTCTCAGGAACGTAACCCAATTTTTCCCATAAGTTCTTCAGTTCATCTAACACGGTGTTTTCAGGAACGTAACTACCGTGTTAAATGACGGTCTAATGTATATGATAGAATATTAGTAATACGGAACATTTTTACTTGTGTAAACAGGTTCTGTTAACAATATAATGATGACAATATTAGTGTGGTTATGGTATTGCATACAATGAGTAATATATACAATGTGCATTATATTGGTCTTACAGGCCACAAAAGTTCCTCGAAAAAATAGGCAAAAGAAAAAATACAAAGAAGTTAATATACATAATACAGTGTGCATGGCAGTAATCATATTACCGCCAGCTGTTCACCTGTCAACCTCACGCCTCTGTACCTTGGTAAGTACTAATGGGATTTTTTTTTTTTTTTTTTGCTTTATTACACCTAGAAAAATATACTGAATAATTATGTAAGTTTTTTTTTTTTAAATTCTTTCGACCCCAAGAGCAAGCTTTGAGAGCACGGGTTTCAACTCTGTAAGTGTTAGTGGACCCACCATTAAATAATTTTAGATTTAATTGACAAATCTGTGGTCAGACAGCATTCAGAAATAATGGACAGTCTTAGACTTATCTGTTATATTTACTTACAATTCACTGGGTAAATTAATTTACGATATAATAAATTTTCTCCAGTAATAATAATTGTCTGTTACTGTTACAATCACAAAGTATTCTTATAATTCAGATATAATGGACAATGAGCTCATACAGTCACCCCCTCCAAGTATTAGTCTAATAAATTGAGAGTTCATTTTATTTCTTACTGCTAGATTGTAGAGCTGGCCACATATAGGTAATCCCCCCTTGCTTTGCAGTTTTTGTCAGTGTTAATTCACATATGTGATGATCGTATTTCCACCAGTAATTTGCTATAGGATGTATAAATTCAGAAGACAATGGACAACTGCCCAGACAAAGTTGAATTATGCAATAATGGAGAAAACATTATCAGGCTGTGCAGCAATCAAAACAAATCTAATTTTAGTTGATAATGACTATCAAATGGATAATGGTAATAACATTCACTCTCAAATATTTTGCCTGGAAACTGATTTAGGTAAGTTAATCATATTTTTTCCAAGTTATTGGCCAAACTAAGCCCAGTTCAAATATTTTTAATCATATAAAATATGGGAGAATTATAAAAATTTAAATGCAGGGAGGACTAGTATAGGGAACTCTCACTGTATTAATACATGCCAATAATAATAGAAAAAACAATCTTACCTCTCCAACATCGTAGATCCATATCTTCCCCATGTCATCTCCCACTGTGATCTGCTGACCAGAATTTGTCCAAGACACTCTATTCAAGGCTGGACTACCTTCAACAACTGTACTAGCAGTGGGCACCTATAACAAGAGAAAAAATACTAATAAATCTCCTCTTTTGGGAGCAAGGGACTAGTAACACCTCCAGCGTAAATTACTAAATGTAAAAAAAAAAAAAATTCCGTTTTTCTTTTTAGATCACCCTACCTTGGTGAGAGACGGCTGGTAGATTAAAAATAAACCTGCACTCTACCATAATGTTAATTGCCTTCAAATTTTTAGATAAGCTCATAATGGTGTGCATAGTGGAACACAAATTTTGGTTCAATTATGACTGGAGGTGTTCTGAGCTTTGAGTCCATCCAATGGAACCTAACATGAAAATCTGACATTTCTGAGGGAAAATTTCTGACAAAATAGTACAAATAAAATTTAAAAATAGTACTCACTATTTTTCAAACCCTTTAACTGCAACTTGCATAAAATTACACAGCATTTTTGTGCCTTTAAAAATTGGGGCTTGTTGCCTTAGCTCAACTGTTTAGGTTTCCTACCACCTTGTATCACATACGAAAAAAAAGTTGGGCTGCGTAGGTCCACACAGTGCATTGTGGGCAACATTGCTCCACCACATGTAAATGAAGTGTGTGATATGCCACTCTGCATCTCACTTATTTCCATAAGATTTCCTTGATAATATCTTGAGGATAAACAGATGTTAGGGATACATTAGACAGCTTTAACCCAGGATAACCAAAGAAAGTGAAATAATGTGACTTATTTCCCTGAATATCACACTTTGGAACAATTGTATTGTCATATAATTTCCTTGCATGTGCTGTTAGAAGATGAAAGCAATCGAAAGAAATCAGAAAAAATCATCTAATTTATATTGCATATCCCATGTAAGGATGTGACTCTCCCCATGTTTCAAGTACTCAAACATCTTCAAACACTACACAAGGAAACAAGTGTACACAATATTGCACATTAATTCTTTTTCAAACTCAAACTAACTTTTTGTTTTGCAAAATTTTGCCACACACATAGGAAAAAAAATGTTGGGGCCTTCCACAGTTAAAGGGTTAACCTCTTCGAAAGAATGTGTGCTGCACATCAATCATATCAGGTAAAACATGGGCATTAAAAAACTGATTTTTTTAAATAATTCGTTAGTGTGTTTTTGGATTAAATCACCGACTTTGCGTGGTGTATTTTCGTGTGTTTTTTACGATTATATTTGCAGTTTCTTGGTCTTATTTTACAAAATGGAAGATATATTACAGAAACAGAGGTGATTTTGATTGGCTTTAGTACTGAAAATAGATTGAAACCGAGCTCAAAGTAGTGGAAATGTTTGATTCTTGCCGATGTTAAAAAGTAAACAAATCACATCACGTGCCCAATACACATCAGCTGGTGGGTCTAATGTGCATTCATGAATGTACTGACATTACTTATACAATTATTACTGTATTGCATAACAGTAAATCTTCTATTTTTTTGGTGTGAATAAAAATTCTTGTGAATAAAAAAATCAAAATGGAATTCATGAGTACAGACTGGAAACATAACTAATAAACAGAGGAAGTATTATTTTAGTGCCAGGAAGGCCTGTACCATTTATTCTGTACCCTGTTGGTAGACAGCAACCACCCAGGGAAGTACTACCGTCCTGCCAGATGACTGTGAAACAGAAACCTGTAACTGTTTTGCATGATGGTAGGATTGCTGGTGTCTTTTTCTATCTCATAAACATGCTAGATAACAGGGATATCTTGCTACTCCAACTTACACTTTGGTCACACTTCAGAGACATGCACATGCATATATATATACATACATCTAGGTTTTTCTCCTTTTTCTACATAGCTCTTGTTCTTCTTTATTTCTTCTATTGTCCATGGGGAAGTGGAAAAGAATCTTTCCTCCGTAAGCCATGTGTGTCGTATGAGGCGACTAAAATGCCGGGAGCAATGGGCTAGTAACCCCTTCTCCTGTAGACATTTACTAAAAAAGAGAAGAAGAAAAACTTTATAAAACTGGGATGCTTGAATGTGCGTGGATGTAGTGCAGATGACAAGAAACAGATGATTGCTGATGTTATGAATGAAAAGAAGTTGGATGTCCTGGCCCTAAGCGAAACAAAGCTGAAGGGGGTAGGGGAGTTTCGGTGGGGGGAAATAAATGGGATTAAATCTGGAGTATCTGAGAGAGTTAGAGCAAAGGAAGGGGTAGCAGTAATGTTGAATGATCAGTTATGGAAGGAGAAAAGAGAATATGAATGTGTAAATGCAAGAATTATGTGGATTAAAGTAAAGGTTGGATGCAAGAAGTGGGTCATAATAAGCATGTATGCACCAGGAGAAAAGAGGAATGCAGAGGAGAGAGAGAGATTTTGGGAGATGTTAAGTGAATGTATAGGAGCCTTTGAACCAAGTGAGAGAGTAATTGTGGTAGGGGACCTGAATGCTAAAGTAGGAGAAACTTTTAGAGAGGGTGTGGTAGGTAAGTTTGGGATGCCAGGTGTAAATGATAATGGGAGCCCTTTGATTGAACTTTGTATAGAAAGGGGTTTAGTTATAGGTAATACATATTTTAAGAAAAAGAGGATAAATAAGTATACAAGATATGATGTAGGGAGAAATGACAGTAGTTTGTTGGATTATGTATTGGTAGATAAAAGACTGTTGAGTAGACTTCAGGATGTACATGTTTATAGAGGGGCCACAGATATATCAGATCACTTTCTAGTTGTAGCTACACTGAGAGTAAAAGGTAGATGGGATACAAGGAGAATAGAAGCGTCAGGGAAGAGAGAGGTGAAGGTTTATAAACTAAAAGAGGAGGCAGTTAGGGAAAGATATAAGCAGCTATTGGAGGATACATGGGCTAATGAGAGCATAGGCAATGGGGTCGAAGAGGTATGGGGTAGGTTTAAAAATGTAGTGTTGGAGTGTTCAGCAGAAGTTTGTGGTTACAGGAAAGTGGGTGCGGGAGGGTAGAGGAGCGATTGGTGGAATGATGATGTAAAGAGAGTAGTAAGGGAGAAAAAGTTAGCATATGAGAAGTTTTTACAAAGTAGAAGTGCTGCAAGGAGGGAAGAGTATATGGAGAAAAAGAGAGATGTTAAGAGAGTGGTGAAGCAATGTAAAAAGAGAGCAAATGAGAGAGTGGGTGAGATGTTATCAACAAATTTTGTTGAAAATAAGAAAAAGTTTTGGAGTGACATTAAAAAGTTAAGGAAGCCTAGAGAACAAATGGATTTGTCAGTTAAAAATAGGAGAGGAGAGTTATTAAATGGAGAGTTAGAGGTATTGGGAAGATGGAGAGAATATTTTGAGGAATTGTTAAATGTTGATGAAGATAGGGAAGCTGTGATTTCGTGTATAGGGCAAGGAGGAATAACATCTTGTAGGAGTGAGGAAGAGCCAGTTGTGAGTGTGGGGGAAGTTCGTGAGGCAGTAGGTAAAATGAAAGGGGATAAGGCAGCCGGGATTGATGGGATAAAGATAGAAATGTTAAAAGCAGGTGGGGATATAGTTTTGGAGTGGTTGGTGCAATTATTTAATAAATGTATGGAAGAGGGTAAGGTACCTAGGGATTGGCAGAGTGCATGCATAGTTCCTTTGTATAAAGGCAAAGGGGACAAAAGAGAGTGCAAAAATTATAGGGGGATAAGTCTGTTGAGTATACCTGGTAAAGTGTATGGTAGAGTTATTGAAAGAATTAAAAGTAAGACTGAGAATAGGATAGCAGATGAACAAGGAGGCTTTAGGAAAGGTAGGGGGTGTGTGGACCAGGTGTTTACAGTGAAACATATAAGTGAACAGTATTTAGATAAGGCTAAAGAGGTCTTTGTGGCATTTATGGATTTGGAAAAGGCGTATGACAGGGTGGATAGGGGGACAATGTGGCAGATGTTGCAGGTGTATGGTGTAGGAGGTAGGTTACTGAAAGCAGTGAAGAGTTTTTACGAGGATAGTGAGGCTCAAGTTAGAGTACGTAGGAAAGAGGGAAATTATTTCCCAGTAAAAGTAGGCCTTAGACAGGGATGTGTGATGTCACCGTGGTTGTTTAATATATTATAGATGGGGTTGTAAGAGAAGTAAATGCAAGGGTCTTGACAAGAGGCGTGGAGTTAAAAGATAAGGAATCACACATAAAGTGGGAGTTGTCACAGTTGCTCTTTGCTGATGGCACTGTGCTCTTGGGAGATTCTGAAGAGAAGTTGCAGAGATTGGTGGATGAATTTGGTAGGTGTGCAAAAGAAGAAAAATAAAAGTGAATACAGGAAAGAGTAAGGTTATGAGGATAACAAAAATATTAGGTGATGAAAGATTGGATATCAGATTGGAGGGAGAGAGTATGGAGGAGGTGAATGTATTCAGATATTTGGGAGTGGACGTGTCAGCGGATGGGTCTATGAAGGTTTAGGTGAATCATAGAATTGATGAGGGGAAAAGGGTGAGTGGTGCACTTAGGAGTCTGTGGAGACAAAGAACTTTGTCCTTGGAGGCAAAGAGGGGAATGTATGAGAGTATAGTTTTACCAACACTTTTATATGGGTGTGAAGCATGGGTGATGAATGTTGCAGCGAGGAGAAGGCTGGAGGCAGTGGAGATGTCATGTCTGAGGGCAATGTGTGGTGTGAATATAATGCAGAGAATTCGTAGTTTGGAAGTTAGAAGGAGGTGCGGGATTACCAAAACTGTTGTCCAGAGGCTGAGGAAGGGTTTTGAGGTGGTTCGGACATGTAGAGAGAATGGAGCGAAACAGAATGACTTCAAGAGTGTATCAGTCTGTAGTGGAGGGAAGGCGGGGTAGGGGTCAGCCTAGGAAAGGTTGGAGGGAGGGGGTAAAGGAGGTTTTGTGTGCGAGGGGCTTGGACTTCCAGCAGGCGTGCGTGAGCGTGTTTGATAGGAGTGAATGGAGACGAATGGTTTTTAATACTTGACGTGCTGTTGGAGTGTGAGCAAAGTAACATTTTGAAGGGGTTCAGGGAAACCGGCAGGCCGGACTTGAGTCCTGGAGATGGGAAGTACAGTGCCTGCACTCTGAAGGAGGGGTGTTAATGTTGC